GGGACTAGAATTGAGAGCGGCATTGGGACTGGGACTGGGACTGAGACTGGGACTGGGACTAGAATTGAGAGCGGCATTGGGACTGGGACTGGGACTGAGACTGGGACTGGGACTCGGACCAGGACTGGGACCGGGACTGGGACTAGAATTGAGAGCGGCATTGGGACTGGGACTGGGACTCGGACCAGGACTGGGACTGGGACTGGGCCCGGGACTAGAATTGAGAGCGGCATTGGGACTGGGACTGAGACTGGGACTGAGACTGGGACCGGGACTGGGATTGAGAGCGGGATTGGGACTGGGACTCGGACCGGGACTGGGACTGAGTCTGGGACTGCTAAAGCACTGTATGACCACCCACATGCATAATGAGCTACCCAGTACCTCCCTATTTATCCAGTAAAACCTCCACGTCTGCAGCTAAAATGAACTAATTAAGTGAATCACGAACCAAAACCTATTTTAAATAACAAATGAAACTAAATAATCTAAATTTTAAGATTTAACTGAAAAATACAGATGTTTTGGACACATTTCCAGACATTAAACATAATAAATACTTTATTTTAAATTTGATCCCAGTATATCTGGGTTGGAACCAGCAGGCTGCGGTTCTGTGGTTCTGAGTGGAGTCCGGCCTACAGCTGATGGGCTGTTTATGGCCCTGCGGGGCCCTCAGGGCCCCTGCGGCTCCGGAGCTTCAGGGAACACATTTGGACCCGGTCCAGATCTCCATCATCACTTTAATGTTTAATCAGGTCTGCAGTTCATCTGTACTTACCGAGCAGCTTCCGGTACTTTAACCCCCCCCCACCCGGCCATAATGCATTAAAGGAACCGGGCCATTAAAAGCTGCCCAGAGACCCAGACCCAGATGGTCCCAGCATCCTGGATCACACTCCACAGGTTCCTCCACAACATCTTCTTCCTGTAACACCTGAAGTTTCCAGAACCTGCAGATGGACTCGGTCAGGAACTCTCAGATTGATCCTTCCTGGGAAGGTTAGTTCTTCAGTTCTGCTCATCAGGTCCAGTCCAGATGAGTCCATGATCCGTTCCTGGATATTCTCCTCCTTGTCATCCATCCATCATCTCCGTTCCTCAGAGAAGGTTC